ACCACAGTCTGTAGGGGCGGGTAGTTCAGGGACTATTAGGAGATTAGGCCTTCAAATCCGATGGTTGGGGGAGGGGGTGAGAGAAGTTGGGACAGGGGATAAGATGTAATATGTAGGGGGTGGGTGTTGATAGGGAGCTGTAGGGTATATGTGGAAGGGCTAACTGTGAGTTCATAGCATAGGGGCTAATAGCATGGTGTAGAAAGCAGTGGGCATTGATAATAATGTGAAGTAGGCGTGGGCTAATAGTGAGCTGTAGGGTGTAGGTGGAAGGGCTTACAGTGAGTTCATTGTATAAGGGCTAACAGCATGGTGTAGAGGGCAGTGGGCAATGCTAATATTGTGAAGTAGGCGTGGGCTAATAGTAAGCTGTAGGTGAAAGGGCTATCAGTGAGCTCATACGTAATGCAGGGGCTTATTGTATGAAGTAGAAGTCAGAGGCTGAACATGGGAGGTATAGAAGGGCTATTGCTAATACTGAACTGTAGGTTGTAAGTGAAAGAGTTAATAGTGGATGTTACTGGGGCAAATATTGTGATTTAGAAGACATGGGCAAATATTGTGATTTAGAAGACATGTGCTAATATTGTGATTTAAGAGACGGGGGCTTATATTGTGATTTAGAGAATAAGGGCTTATGTTGTGATTTAGAAGACATAGGCTAATATTGTGATTTATAAGGCATTTGCTAATATTGTAATTTAGAAGACAGTGGGATTATATTGTGACTTAGAAGACATGGGCTGATATTGTGCTTTAGAAGACAGTGGCTAATTTGTTTCATATTAAGTTGTTTTATTGAGCAGCGGGTCTCAAACTTGTACTACCAGTGAAACATTTAGTCTTACGTTTATATCTTATAAATTAACGAGTACCAACCCAACCCACACAACGGGACACCAGTAGTTTTAAGTTTATCCCACCGTGTAGACATGTCCAGCCAAATTTTTCGGGGAGGATCTGTGTCCTTCGTCTGTCAGAGATATGACCTGCGCCGAGAAATGTCTCGCTATCTGATATCTGCCGCTATCTGCTGGTCACTCTGTAGGTCACTCAGGCGTCATTCAAGTGGTCACTCAACCGTCATTTTACCAGTCACTCAACCGTCATTTTACCAGTCACTCAACCGTCATTTTACCAGTCACTTCGCAAGCCGTTCTACTAGTCACTTATAAAATTATTTATATTTGGTAGGCTACATGATGAGTACAAAAATAAACAATCGTCAACGTATTTACAAATAATGAGATAAATCTTATAGTTAACACAGAGTCATATCTAAGTAAAAATTTTGACCGAATATTATATTCCCGACAAATTCATATATAAGTCATTTTTATTTTCTGATTTTACATTCATGGCAAAGTCATATCTAAATGATAACTTTTTTTTTTTTGCAATCATTTCAAAATCTTCTTATTTCACAAAACAAATATTATCATATGGCTCTCGTTTTTTTTAAGTCTTTCTCGATGTTTCAGGATTTTCTCACTATAAAACACGTTTCGCTATAAAAACGCGCTTCACAATGCAAAGCGTTTCACTATACAATGCGCCCCTCTTTACAACATATTTCAGTACACACTGAACAAACAAGCACGTTGACTTTATTCATAAAGTCTTGTAACCAACCTTTTACTTAAGCCGGCTAATTTAGACGGCAACTCTGCAAACAAATCAAGCTAGTCTTACCTATACCCCCCTACACCATCCCCCCCGACCCTCCACATACACAAATGGTCAGCGCTTTGTGTGGTGTCCACCTACCACCGCGGGAACTAGCCTGGGCATATCCGGGGCAGATATGCCAATCATCCACCGCCGGGGCACTATCGACGCTGTCAGCGCGCCTTTGATCATCGCGTGGTAAATCTGGCGTCAAATCTCGTTCCCTTGTCAACGCGAACTGCCAAACTTCTAGAACAGAGGGGGGGAGGGGGGATATGTTCATCACGCTGTGGTCAGTTTGAATGGCCAATCAGTCTAGACTTAACCTACGTACGTACAAGACTGGTCAAGTACAGAGGCGTAGCGACCCTTCCCGGCGCCCGGGACAAACTTTCGATTTGCACCCCCCCCCTCGAACTTTTCATTTGCACCCCCTCAAACTTTCGATTTGCACCCCCCCCCTCGAACTTTTCATTTGCATCCCCCCTCAAACTTTCAATTTGGCGCCCTCCCCCTAAGGTCGGCGCCAGGGGACATATGTCTCCCCCCCCCCCTCGTTACGCCTCTGGTCAACTAGATCAGAACGTGTCTCTGTATCTGCCGTGTCCCCACTTTTACAAAGGTACCGACCACATTCACAAACTGGTCAAAATCTCTTGAACGGCTTGAGAAGGCAAAAAGTTCCATTAAAAATATATTAATTCTCCTTAGGCATGTTTGTCGGGCATAAGTCATGTTTATATTTGAATATAGACATACTATGCAAGCTACCTATATATATATATATATATATATATATATATATATATATATATATATATATATATATATATATATATATATATATATATATATATATATATATATATATATATATATATATATATATATATATATATATAGGCCCCCTATATATATATATATATATATATATATATATATATATATATATATATATATATATATATATATATATATATTTATTTATTTATTTATTTATTTATTTATTTATTTATTTATTTATTTATTTATTTATTTACATATATATATATATATATATATATATATATATATATATATATATATATATATATATATATATTATAAATAAAAAAATTATGTATTTATAACCGATAATATATGTTAGTTATTTATTTAATTAGTACATTTTTGGGTGGTTACAGAGGCGTAGCAACCCATTCCAGTGTCCCAGGCGAATTAAGAATTGTGCGCCCCTCCCCTAATGTATATATAGTTTACCGAGTTCATTAAAAAGCGACCTCCCCCCCCCCCCCCTCATCAATTTGGTTGGGTGCTCATTTTACCAGTAACAGTTTTTTTATTTTCGTGTGACACAATTGATGTAGAAAACATTTAAATCGGTCTGTAAAGCAAAGAAGAAGTCTTTTTCTTTCATTTAGACTGTGTATAATTCAGTAATACAGCTCAGAATGTGCTTTAAGATTTTTAAATTTTCATCCCATTGGCGCCCCCTAGGGTCGGCGCCCAGGGTAGCCGCCCCACTCGCCCTTCCATAGCTACGCCTCTTGGTGGTTAACTCATATTCAATACGGCGATTCAATAGTAGTGTGTATGCAAATATTTGGCATCGGATATTATATTTTTTTTAAAAATTAAATGTTTGATATCATAGTGTATATTATGTGACGATTTAAAAACTTATCTGAAACTTCAAACAAAACGAAACAAAAGAAAAATAGTCAAGTCGACTCGACAGTGAACATTTTGTTTCCTGCTTGGTATTTTTGGTTCAACCCCAATTTGTACCGTGTGATTAACGAACAAAGGCCCAGTCGTTGAGCGCCGTGTCGCGGCCATCTTGTCCCACGTGACTGGGGTAAGCGGACCCGCAACAGATTAAGCAACCGGAAACCGGTGCGGATAATGAAGACACAACTTACCGGATTAAGCCGGACTGCCGGCAGGTGAGAACAGCCATTGTGCCGGTTGACAGGACGTCTCCGTGTCTGGGTGCGAAATATTAGCCGGCCCGTGGGCGGCCGGCAGCCGGTGACGTGCGGGGAATGTTACGTGGACAGGGGGGATAACTGGGGGACACATGCCGACATCTGAGCCGGGGAGTTTCAAAGGGGATCTGATTTCTGTTTCTTGTGAGGGGGTCCGTCTGTTCCCAGCTGATGTCTAACATGTCTCATCTGTTGTCTGGTCTGTCTTTGACTCGACTGTCTTACCTGATGCATGTACTGTCTTATCTGATGTCTGATCTGTCTTTGTCGCTGCTGCTTTACCTGATGTCTGGTCTGTCTTATCTGATGTCTGGTATGTCTTACCTGATGTCTGGACTGTCTTACCTGATGTCTGGTCTGTCTTACCTGATGTCTGGTCTGTCTTACCTGATGTCTGGATTGTCTTACATAATGTCTGGACTGTCTTACATGATGTCTTGACTGTCTTACCTGATGTCTGGACTGTCTTATCTGATGTCTGGTATGTCTTACCTGATGTCTGGACTGTCTTACATGATGTCTGGTCTGTCTTACCTGATGTCTGGATTGTCTTACATAATGTCTGGACTGTCTTACATGATGTCTTGACTGTCTTACCTGATGTCTGGACTGTCTTATCTGATGTCTGGTATGTCTTACCTGATGTCTGGACTGTCTTACATGATGTCTGGACTGTCTTACATGATGTCTGGACTGTCTTACCTGATGTCTGGACTGTCTTACCTGATGTCTGGTCTGTCTTACCTGATGTCTGGTCTGTCTTACCTGATGTCTGGATTGTCTTACATAATGTCTGGACTGTCTTACATGATGTCTTGACTGTCTTACCTGATGTCTGGACTGTCTTACCTGATGTCTGGACTGTCTTACATGATGTCTTGACTGTCTTACATGATGTGTGGACTGTCTTACCTGATGTCTGGACTGCCTTACCTGATGTCTGAACTGTTTTTGTCTCGACTGTCTTACCTGATGTCTGGACTGTCTTTGTCTGGTCTGTCTTACCAGATGTCTGGTCTGTCTTACCAGATGTCTGGACTGTCTTACCAGATGTCTGGTCTGTCTTACCTGATGTCTGGACTGTCTTACCTGATGTCTGGTCTGTCTTACTTGATGTCTAGACTGTCTTATCTGATGTCTGGTCTGTCTTACGTGATGTCTGGTCTGTCTTTGTCTTGACTGTCTAACCTGATGTCTGGACTGTCTTACTTGATGTCTGGTCTGTCTTACCAGATGTCTGGACTGTCTTACCTGATGTCTGGTCTGTCTTACCTGATGTCTGGTCTGTCTTACATGATGTCTGGACTGTCTTAACTGATGTCTGGTCTGTCTTACCTGATGTCTTCACTCTCTTAACTGATGTCTGGAATGTCTTTGTCTTGACTGTCTTATCTGATGTCTGCTCTGTCTTACCTGATGTCTGGTCTGTCTTACATGATGTCTGGACTGTCTTACCAGATGTCTGGTCTGTCTTACCTGATGTCTGGTCTGTCTTACCTGATGTCTGGACTGTCTTACCTGATGTCTGGTCTGTCTTACCAGATGTCTTGTCTGTCTTACTTGATGTCTGGTCTGTCTTACCTGATGTCTGCATTGTCTTATCTGATGTCTGGTCTGTCTTACCAGATGTCTTGTCTGTCTTACCTGATGTCTGGACTGTCTTGCCTGATGTCTGGACTGTCTTACCTGATGTCTGGTCTGTCTTACCTGATGTTTGGACTGTCTTACCTGATGTCTGGACTGTCTTACATGATGTCTTGACTGTCTTACCTGATGTCTGGACTGTCTTGCCTGATGTCTGGACTGTCTTACCTGATGTCTGGTCTGTCTTACCTGATGTTTGGACTGTCTTACCTGATGTCTGGACTGTCTTACATGATGTCTTGACTGTCTTACCTGATGTCTGGTCTGTCTTACCTGATGTTTGGACTGTCTTACCTGATGTCTGGACTGTCTTTGTCTGGACTGTCTTAACTGATGTCTGGATTGTCTTTGTCTTGACTGTCTAACCTGATGTCTAGACTGTCTTACCTGATGTCTGGACTGTCTTTGTCTGGTCTGTCTTACCTGATGTCTGGTCTGTCTTACCTGATGTCTGGACTGTCTTTGTCTTGACTGTCTAACCTGATGTCTAGACTGTCTTACCTGATGTCTGGACTGTCTTACCTGATGTCTGGACTGTCTAACCTGATGTCTAGACTGTCTTACCTGATTTCTGGTATGTCTTACCTGATGTCTGGTCTGTCTTACCTGATGTTTGGACTGTCTTACCTGATGTCTGGACTGTCTTTGTCTTGACTGTCTAACCTGATGTCTAGACTGTCTTACCTGATGTCTTGACTGTCTAAGCTGATGTCTAGACTGCCTTAACTGTTGTCTTTGGTGTCTTACCTGGTGTCTGGGTTGTCTAGCTTGCATTGCCTATGTACTGTTGTCTTATGTGTTGTTTATAATGACCTACCTTTTTCGAGACTACATTTGATAGGTGACTATTAAATGAGTTTTCTATTATTGTTTTACCTGCATTGGGTGATGTCACTGTTATATTCAGGTGTATTATAACTAAAAAATTTCCTTACGGGTTCATTTTTAAATTACTCACATGAATTAGATTTTTTTTTTATTTCCTTGTGAGAAGACCCGACTCTAATGTACCAGAAGATCGGGAAATCCGCTTGGTCCATGGAATAAAACGCTTTTTCATCGAGTGTGCCAATACTTCAGCAGATTAAAACGAGATCACCAATTAACGATTTTTAATGGCTTAGAACTTAATTACGTCTTTTAATTTCTGCTCATTTGAGCGAACATGGCCTTCCTAAGAGCTGAAATAACACGCGCGCGCGCACACGCACGCACACACAAACACATACACTTATACAGAAACTCTACAATGGATCTGAATCCGCAAAGAGACTCCATTAGCAAGTGTTTGCATGCCGGAAGTGGATGAGCATGAGGCATTTTTTTTGCTCACACTTAATGGGAATTTATCCCGTAAATTTCCTACATTTTCCAGATAAATGAAATGTTTTTAATTTGAACGTTTTTTGTTGTTGTTTTTTTTTTTTACTTGAAAGCGAGTGCTTGTCCAAATGAAAACAAAAACGGCGATGAAACCATCGAGGTAAATGTGATGAAACGCTTCGTGTTTGTAATAAAGAATTATTTTTACTTGATCGATGGACCGTTAATGGCTCAGGGGTTGTTTTTTTTTTATTTACACAAAAGTTTTACATTCCGTCATGGTTGAGTTCCTACAGTTTCTTGATTTTAGTGAATAGAAATAAATTTACCTTAAAAAACATGTAATTTTTAAAAATCTAGTATATTTCGAATGAGGTAAATAGTGGTGTTGTGGAGTTGAAGACATGAGCGACGACCCTATTTGAAAAACGATAACGGTCTTTATATCGCGTAACGGCCTGTATCAAATTTGTGATGGTCAGTCACATATTTTTGTTTCTCAGTAACATTTTCTTTGGTATGTCACAAAATTACGATGGTCAGTGACATAATTAGAGCTCAACCACACGAGGCTCGATAGCTGGTGATAGCAACTCTTATAGGAGAGACAACTCCAAAATCAAACCCCAGTTGCCTTATAATTTGTTCTTGGTTGGTCAAAGGCTATGGAAGCAGATCCAAAAAAGAGTAAGTCGACGGCCTATATGGCACGTAACAATTTGACACGTAATGCTTAACTGTGTTAGAGAATATCCCTTCTACCAGTGGCGTAGGCAGGGGGGGGGGGGGGGTTAGGGGGGGTCATAACCCCCCCCCATAGACCCCTCGGTATATATAAAAAGTATGAGGGGGTGGGTGCAAATCGAAAGTTTGAGGGGGGGGGGGGTGCAAATCGAAAGTTTGAGGGGGGGTGCAAATCGAAAGTTTGAGGGGGGGGGGGGGTGCAAATCGAAAGTTTGAGGGCGGGGGTGCAAATCGAAAGTTTGTCCCCGGGTAAAAATTGGAACCCCCCCCCCCCCCCCCCCTCCCCTTGAGACGATCCTGGCTACGCCACTGCCTTCTACAACTAGTATTAAGAAAGAAAAAGAAGAAGAAAGTCAGAAATTGGAACCGGTCCGTCACATATTTTTGTCGGTCCGTCACATTTTTGCGTTGGTCAGCCACACATTCTCCTCTACCGGTCACCAATCATCGTCCGTCATCCGCCCGCGTCGGTCTGACAAGTCACGTGATACTCCTGGGCTGCCTGTCACAGGCCTGACAGATTGACCACTGCTTACAACCAAAGACAACCTCAGCCCCTTCACTTATCGGCGTCGCTGGACAACAACTGACCACTGCCCCGCCACTTTTGAAGCTACCTAATGATGCAGTGCCAACTTTTTTTATACCATCAATCTCTAAAATGAGCTGTCTAATAACAACCTTGAACTTTCGACTTCTGCTAATTAGCATAATGGCTGCAGCTATTAATATTTCTGGTCCGCAGCCCGCACTAATGACCCCCTCTTAATTCCAGCCCGGTCAGTTTGTGGTCAGTTTGGGTCCAAATAACAAAAACCGTTGGGGTCACATGCATTTAAGGGGGTGGCTTCCGCCGTAATACCGGAAGCTGGAACTGACCAATGGTTTAATACGGGCTGGCTCAAACTGACCATAAATTTAGCCTCGGTAAATCTCGTTTGATGGACGTTATGTGGGCGCCCCGCTGATTAATGGCGCTGATAGCTGTGGTGTCCGGCAATGCCCAGTGTCCGGACATTGCATGTTCTGTCCCTCATAGATCAAGAGCGTGTGAAGTTTGTATCTTGATAAACACGGACCCTTGCCAGATATTGCTGCTAGGAACTTAGCCGTTTTCTATACAAATCTTGCAGGGTATATATCTTCTTCACATTGGCCATTTATAAGATATTTGCAATATTTCACTACCTTTAATATATATATATATATATATATATATATATATATATATATATATATATATATATATATATATATATAGCTACCACTATATATATATATATATATATATATATATATATATATATATATATATATATATATATATATATATATATAGTGGTAGCTATTTTTTAAATATCTATAGAAACGTGGGTCTTTGTTCGCTTCCTTTCAAGTAGGATACAAATGTTTATTATGCTTCCTTTCAAGTAGGATACAAATGTTTATTATGCTGGGAATTTATCAAATATCGCAATGAATGTAGCCGACTTTTGGCTACCTTTCACGCTAGCCATTAAAGACGAGTTTAACAACAACGGTTCATTACACCTTGCTTGGTCAATTGGCTCGCCATTAGAGCTTGTGACTGGTGCGGGGGGAGGTGTAATGGGGTCAGCTAGGGTAGTGGTCAGTTGGTACCAGCGGGTAGGGTAATGGTCACTTTCTAGGTGGGGTCACTCAACCGTGGTTGATTAATTACCCTGGTCATCTTAGTGCCGGACATCGTTTAGCAGCTGGGCGGTTCTAGCGTTAGATCACATAGGGGTAGGGTAAGGGGGGGGGGGGAGATTAATGGTGACAATTTGAACGGGTGGATGGGGCATGAAATCAAGAGGTGGGGGGAGTAGTAGTTGGGTTTGGTAGGAGGGGAGTTGAAGAGTAGGGAAGCAGGAGGCTGTGATGTGTTACGACATTTAAACGTGAATACTGTAATACTACTCCTATTGTACAGAGAAAGAATTCAATGTTTTTAATAACGACCTTCACCTTGAAATCTGACCCCCCCCCCCTCCCACCCCCACTCCAACGGTTTCAATCTCTTCATTTAAAAAGGAAATCAATTCATTAAATGATTTTTAAAATTTCTTTTTTTCACGTTCTTATCGGAAGATTTCTGTGATTTAGTGCGCGCGTTTTTTTTTACCCTCACAATTCTATTAACAAACCCCGAGGTGAAATCGAGGGCTCAGAGGAGTTCATAGAGTTTCTTTCAGCCAAGTGGACATTTTAGAGCTGCCAATTAAGCTGGGGATAGTTAATGAGCTCTTGCATATCTATGTAGCCATCTTATCTGCAGTGTAAAGGTATATATATATATATGTTACGGTCAAAGCCCGAAGTCGGCCAATGCTAGGATTGGCCGGCCAATCCGCGCATTGGCCAATATCGCCTCCCATAGGTCGGTCAAAGTCCGAAACTTTGCTTGATTTCGGCCTTTGGCCGGCCAATCCGCAGACTGGCCATTGTGGACTGGCCAAAGTCTGAAATAGCTCTTGATTTCGGCCTTTGGCCGGCCAGTCTACATTAGAAGATCATCTGGCTAGGGACGACAGGCCTAAGTCCGAATTAGAAGATCATAAGCAGATTTTGGTTTTTTTTTAATGCCGTAAGGATCATGAAATTAAGTCTTTATTGATTATTAATTAAAGTAAATGACAGAAATATTCAAATTTTTTATTGTACTATAGTCTCAATCTATCAATATCATCATTTGTTACAACAAGTTGAACTTTTATGGCATTTAGAATTACATAGCAGCTTGTTATTTTTACACTTGCAGCGATTTGTTGTAGAGATTTTTCCTCAGTGCCAACTGACGACTTTAAGAGCAGTTTTTCGTGAAGAATTGAAAACTCACTTCTAGAACATATTTGTTTTAGAACACTATGTTCCGTTCCTAGCTTGTAGAAAGCGATGTCGACGCTCATGACAACTGCAATCACGCTTCGGGGATCACCGTGACCTCTGTTAACATCTGGAAAACGGATGCGTACATTGTCACCCACTTCACCATCTTTAAATTTTGTATTTGATGTTTTAAGCATCTTAGCACCTTGAGTTTGCAAGCCAGTATGAGCTGCTGATCTGTGTTCCATGATGTCTTGTTTGTTGTGACACAATCTGCAGGTAATGTTCCCTCCGTACCCTTCGTCTGCTTCATTGGGTATTCCACAAATAGCATGGACATCGTTGCCACAGGATCCACAAGAATGAGCTGCACTACAATGTTTTTCACAAACTATACAGAATCTGTTGGCCACATTATTGTCACGCAACTGGTCTGGGCGTTCCGCCACGGCAGTAGATGTGTTAGCTGAGGATGTCGTTGCATTTATGGCAACCTCCATTTCTTGTTCAATGTTCTCAAGATCTTCCTCAGAAACTATTTTATCGAGAGCCTGATATGGAAACTAACATGGATTTACATTTTTTTTTTCTTTTGACAGCCATCTGCTATGTCTGTCTCATGGTCTGACGGCCCTTTTGATCCATGTCGTTTTGCATATAGAATGCTATACAAACAAGAGCTAAACAATACGTTACTCTCAATGAAAACGCACCCAGAATAATGAAAATGCGATCACAACTTAGTCTAGATAGAACATTGGCCAGGACATCCCGGCCAGTGCGCGCATTGGCCGGCCAATGTACAAAATACGCTGTCAAGTTTAAGCGCTTCGGACTTTGGCCAGTACGTCCCTGCC